GAGAGAGAGAGAGAGAGAGAGAGAGAGAGAGAGAGAGAGAGAGAAAGTGTATAGATATGCATTGTGGGAACACGAGGAGCCAGATTTACCGTCAACGTCGTCGTCGTAATTGCGTTTCAGGTGTAAGGAACACGGTGTGTCCGCCCTACATGAGTACGACACGAGCGTACGTTTCCACGTATGCGTGAAATCGATAACTGGGAATTAGTCTGCCCGGCTGTCTCCCAGAACTAAATGCGAGCGTACGACGGGAGAAAAATTTAGTCGATCGCCCTTGGGAATCGATGTACTCGCGCGAATTCTGTTTATTACTGCTATTTACACATCGAAAGGAACAGTCGATTAATATCAAAATTTAATTTCACTCGCAACGACTTTTTTATAAAATATGAAAAAAGTAATTTTATATAACGTTTTTTTTTTCATTATAGATATTGTCATTAATAATGAGTAAAACTTATGAGACGTATAATAAGTAATAAGTAATAATTCAAATAGTAATAAATAATACACTGAGAATTGATGTGAGAAATATTCTCAAGAGAAGAATATAAATTATCAATGACGAAAAAAAAGACGAATTTAATGAATCGATAAATGATTAAATAATACCTGTCAAAAAGATGAAGTATACAAAGATATTAATTTTAAATGGACATTTTAGATAAATTAAAATGCACGTCAAATTATAAAAATGAATGAGAGAAAAATAAATTCAACTGCTTGTTTTTCTGCATCTTCTAGCGAGTCTCCAATCGAGAATTTAACACAATGAAATATTTATAACCTATATTTTCTTAACTGAAACAGATATGTCAGGTTTTTCAATTAATCTTTAATTTTTAATAAAAAGAAAAACAAAATTTCTGAAAAATATCACAATGACGAATTTCCAATACAGATTTTTATTTAAATTATTTTTTAAAACAAAAATTTTATCCATCAAACATTCTAAAATAATTAAAATAAATGAGAAGCAGTTTCGAATAATTTTTGTAGCTAATGGCTCATCGGCTATCGTATATCGCACATTTTCTTTTCTCCTTTTTCACGTTTACTTTAATATGCCATACATGTTCCCGGAGATATTGTCCCATGATGGACATACGTGTAAGAAACACTAGCCAGTCACGAAAGGGGCAAAGTAAACGGCGCGACAGAATAAACGAAAATCTACCCGTACGAGAAACCAGAGAGAAAGAGAGAGGAAAAGAGATGGAGAAAATATCACTATGGACGGTACGGAGGATCAATACGTCACGAACACGGTCACAACTATTCGTGCATACACGCGAGACTGTACCCCTCCCCCTTTCAGTCCATAGTCTGAGATAATTCTTCTGCACATTAATCATAATTACTTGTATCACTGAACGAGTCGACTTGCTTCGGACAGCGCATCAACGTATATGATATATAAGATTACAAATATATTATATTTGTTGCTCGATACACAAAACAGATCAGAGATCCCTTTTTCTCAAATTTATTTTAAGGTTTATTTATTCGTGATTTTTATTACACTGTGTCCAATAGAGATTTCTCACATTGTTCGTGCGAAGTCATAAACAAAAACCTCTTATTAAAGAGATACTTTCTTCTTTATTGATATCTAGAGAGGTAGAATCCTTAAACTACTTTGTTTGTTATCATCTTAGTTCTTAAACATCTTTGTTTTTGTAATAAAAATTATGAGAAATTGTTTTCGTCCTAATCGTGTGATCAAAAGAAAATAATTAATTTTAAAGAAATTATGTATATGCGGGCTATTATACCTGTCGTTTTTTCATTTTTATTATAAAAATCCTGCTTTTAATCGTATTACTTAAAAATTGATTTTCTAGTAAAAGAATATTAAGTGTACCTAAACAAATTCCAGCATTAAAAATCATTATAATCTTGTAAAATGTCATAAGAATTGGTAAATAATCTCGTAATAGGTAAATAATCTTGTAATAAAATTATTGATATACAAAATGAAAAAAATAGAAGCACATGTATGAATAAATATAATTGTTATCGTCACATAAAACACACAATTAAAAATATAAGAACACAAATGTATTTATAAAAAAATATTCTTACCGACTAAATTAGTGAATGTCCATTTATCATATAATGATATTCTGGTTCACTTTCTATTTCTTGAAAATATTAATTTTTTATATTCGCGCGCGCGCGCGGAAACGGATAAGTATTTTTATAAATTTATTTCAAAAATTATTTTTTCTTTTAAATTCTTTTTAATAATATATTTGCCCCTCTTGTTGAAAAAATGAAAATAGTAGTAATAATAATGACAAGCTAAAAATAACTTTCAAAATAAGATTTATTTCCTTATGATGCTAACTATTTACTTAAGATTATGATAACATTCTAGCCTGACAACATCTCACAAGAGCAATATAGATGTTCGCTTTTATTTCTTTTAAATCCCCAAGCTAATAAACTATTTGACACAGAGATGTCTCTTACATATTATTATGAAAAAATAATATATATTTTATAAAGTTAGGTTTCCTTTTCTCAATTTGAGTTTGCATTTCATTTTAATTTAATCAGTTGTTATACTTTATATATATACAAATTATTTTATTTATTATATTGTACTTCCAGTTAGAGATGTGCAAATTTTCGATATATCGCAATTTTCTTTTCTTGAATCGTAATGCGATATGTGTAACTGATTTTTAAATTGCATGATTTAAAATTGCGTCTGCAATTAATATTCTATATTTGTTTTTAATTTTTTAAGCCATGTAAACAATTCGATTAATGAAATAAAGCAATAAAAACTGATATCATTTTCTATATTTCGTGAAGATATTTTTTCTTTAAAAATATTCCGTTTTATTTATAGATTTTTAATGGTATTACATTATTGAAAAACAAATGTTTTCGTATTTGCTGCGTTTTAATTGATATTTTTTATTATTTGATCAGCTGTGCTCTACACTCTGATTCTGCATTTTAATTGATATTTTTTATTATTTCATCAGCTATGCTCTATACTCCGATTCTGTAAATACCATAATTCTGTAATTAATGTAATGACAGTTCGGTATCGTTATGTTGTTGCTGTGCATGTTTTTCCATGTATAATATTTGCGCGATAATGGTAATACAACTTTACTGAAACTACAGAATCGGGATACTGAACTATCAAAGATTTTTAATGTGACAAAAACAGTTGAACAAATGTATAATATATACACATAAAAGTCGTGATGCGATGATCGCGTTCATTACGATTTTTAAGGAAGCAATCGCGATGTATAATTTTGAAAAAAATTACACCCTTCTTCCATTAAGTTTTATCGTGAAACTCATATTTCACATGTCTGCAAGATGCGAGTATATTAGTTGAAAAAATCTTCAACTTCCGCCAATTCTCTCATTCGTGCCTCTTGATGAGCCCAACGGGCTTCTGCTAATCTATCAGATAACCCCCATTTGTCATGATAAACGCGTTGACCGCAACTTGGACATTTCTTACCCCCTTTAACACAAAAAATAAAAAGATTTTTAATTTTTCTATAATATAATTTGACTAAATAAAAAACTTTTATTTTTACCATGGAATGGCGGAGTCTTCATGTATGTCACGAGACATTTTAAGTGGAAGAGATGACCACAATAAAGTCTTTCGGCGTGGAAATCCGCATTTTCGTCGATTACAATCTCTTTGGGATCTGTTGGCAAGCACTTTACTTTGCAGTGTTGACAGGATTCTTGCGGAAAAGCTTTCACACTCCTGCACAAATTAAAATGTAATAAAATAAAGAAACTAATAGTTTAAAAAATGTAATAAAAATGTTATATAAAAATAAAAATTACTTTATGAGAAAGGAAACAACTGTGTTTAATGACGGTGATGGTGTAAACGGGTTTTGTTGTTTCCTCAGTGGTGGCTCGACACATTTCCTTGCTAATTCCCTTCCTTGTCCAACTAGATAGCGATTGAACAGTGGTGGGAAATTCGTATCAACATCACTGTAACTGTAAACAAATTATATAAATTAGTCACATTGGATTTGAATTTGTTATAATTTAAAAGGTGTGTGTGTGTGTGTGTGTGTGTGTGTGTGTGTGTGTGTGTGCGCGCGCGCGCGCGCGTGCGTGTGTTTCAAAAAAAGACTAACATACATAACACAATTGGTAGGATAATTATCTGGCACTTCAAGCTTGGTCTTAAAATGATACAAATCTTGATGCAGTGTTAGATTGATGGAAGAATTCTTTTGCTTTAACTTGAACTCGTCCTTATCCCCTAAAAGTTTTTTCAATATTGATATTTCCTCATAGCAGCAGATGAGAGGATTCTCTTCAATGAAATTCCTGATGAATTTTAAAATTGGCAATATCTACAAACATACGAATTAATTGTATTAAATGTAAATAATTTCTATATGTAGCTAGTTAGTACATATAAATCTCTCCAAGTATAAACCTGCGCTTTATTCAACAAACGCTTGCACTCTTTTTCGCAGACTTCTGTTAGTCCATCGAGCAGCTTCGCAGACAGAGTTTTACTCTTTAACTCAACAAACAACGGCGATGCAGGATAATCCTTTTGGAATTGGATGCACACAACGAGTTGTTTAAACGGTGTTTTTCTGCAAGACAAACAAATCACAATAAGCAATGATAGGAAACTATTTTGACAGTGTGATAAAAGCACGATATGGAGTTTTCTTACGTTATTTCGACGCGGACCATGCTCGGTACACAAGAGACGAGGCGGCTTCCGTCAACGACATTATGGCAGAGCTGTGATACTTCTTGCAATTCATCATCAATAAATCCCATGAGCAAGTGAGGACAGGCTAAGAAAAGATTGATGATTTTTACTACTTCCCAATATTAACTTTATCAGCTGGTAACTTTATTGAGACTAATCGCATTTGTCGTTAAACAGATTTGATTAATCACGGTTGACACTCAATCGAGATGACAAAACCGGCCTTACGTGAAAATAATCAAAGAATTGACGTAATCGCGACGTAGCATAACCTTCCAGGCATGACCTAACGGTCCTAACGAGTCAAATTGCGTGGTAAATAATAAAACGCGATCGGTTTTTACGTCGATATTATTTTTATCGTGATATTAATAAGGAGATTACCTTTCAATCGATCTCTTTCTCCTCTTCGACGTTTTTTGCAAAGAATCACAAGATTCAAAGTCAACTAATCATACGTAAAAAGAGACACGCATAATAGTATTTCGAAATACAATACCTCACTCTTAACGATGTCACGTGATACCGTCCCGTGTATAGTGTGTACTATTTATGATTTTAGAAAACGGTTAGAAAGCGTTAGGAAGTGACGATTAGCATGTATTTAGTGATGACCTGAAGGCTAAGAGTTGTTTGATAAAACAAAAAAATAAATCGAATAACGAAAAATAAAGAAATTTTTGTTTCGTATTTTTGAATATTCTTCACTATTTCTATCTTTTTCTAACAGAAGAATTATTTGAATTTTAAAGTGATTGTGATCGACAGACGCAACAACACACCGCTGTCAAATTCTGAGATAGTAGCTCCATCTGGATTGAATATCTTCAGATACAGGAGGTACCTAACCTATTCTGTATGTCGTACCACGTGTTTATAGGCAATCAATAGTCATAAAGCTAAAGCAAGTTGAAAAAGAATGATGTTTCTCGATATCGACGGATATTCATAAAAGAAGAAGAAGAAATGACAAGGTCAACTTCACGGTCGTAATTGTTATTGATACAGTACAGTGTAGTGTTGAGATTGAGATTCAAAAATGAACCGAGTAACTGACGCGAAAGAAGTGATCCTGACGAGCGACACCACCGGGGAGAGTTGGAGCGCCGCTGTGTGGGATCCTCGGAACGGCTCTCTGTTGTCCGTGTACAAGAACGCGACGGCACTTGGACATCGTAGCCTTCAGCTTTTGAGCGATAGCTACGTGTTAGGGGCGGACGTCACGAGACCTCGTATACACATCTGGCCGCTGAATAGTCCGTCACCGTTACCCAACATTCGATTGAATACGCCAGGCAAAGTCAACGCCTTGATCTGCACGCCAAATGGATCCTATATAATTGCCTCCGTGGGAGAAAAGCTGTTCATCTGGCAGACATGCAACGGCAGGCTACTGGTCAATCTGACCAGGCATTATCAGACCGTCAGCTGTCTAGCCATCACAAAGGACGGTTCGTTATTCGCCAGTGCTGGCGAAGATGGTCTGGTGTTCGTATGGTCGCTCTATAGTGCGCTGAACGACTCGCGTTGTTCGCCTGTCCACGCTTTCTCTAACCATAGTTTGCCAGTCAGGGATCTGCACTTCGGTCATGGTGACGCTCACGCGAGATTGTATACAGTCTCGCTAGATCGAACCGCGAACATCTATGAGCTTGGCAGTGGAGCTCTCCTGGTTTCCTTGGTGTTCGACGCACCGCTCACAGCGGTCACCGCGAACGTCTGCGAGAGCGAACTCTTCGTGGGCTGCACAACTGGTGACATATTCCAGTGTAACCTGCACGAACCGCCACGTGGAGTCGAGCATCATGTCACGGTGAGCTCGTGCGAAGAGAGCGCCGTGTTCCAGGCGCACAAGTCAAATGTGACCGCCCTGTCGGTATCCGTGAACTGCTCTACTCTGCTGTCCGGATCTACCGACGGTGCAGTCCATGTCTGGGACATTGCCAGCCGGCAGGTGCTCAGGACACTCAAGCATAAGGGCCCAGTTACCGCTGCGTTTTTTGCTAGAGGATTCGACAATTTTCGCGCCTCTGTCCTTAAGCCACGCTTGCAGGTGCAAAATCTACAGAGGACATCAGACGACGGTGGTAGAGAGAGCGTCGTCGAGGTCGTCTCCAGAGGACGAAATTCGGCGGAGATCCTGAACTTCGAGTCTTATATAGAAGGCAGTAGCGATTCTCGAGGATCGGATCAGATGTCGAAGAAGTTGGACGATCTACAGAAAGAGATTAACAAATTAAAGAAAATTAATGCTGCCATATATCAATATGGCGTTACACATATCTTAAAAAAGATTGTTGATGATTAATAAAGAATATTGGAGCATAATCATTGGATTTTATTCTTATCGAGAGACTGAAATTTTTATTTATACATTTTGTAGAATACATAGATAATGATAATATATATTATCACTTTCTTTCTATTGAAATATGTTTTATTTTTGAAAGATATAGGCAAATATTTTACACTGTAAAAATATACAGTCATATAAAAACAAAAATTGAAATAATATTTCTTTATTCGATCTACCTGAAAATATTCTTTATCCAAATAAATTGTTTTATGTTTTTTTTTCAATAAATATAAGAAATAGATGGGTGTAATTTTCTATTTTGTCTGTACCATGTTTTTGTTACATTTTTTTCAAACTATTGCGATATTCACAGATTTATGAAGCAAGAAGTCTAGGAAAGTCTATTTTAGATTAGTTAATTTTGTGAGATATTTACGTTTGTCTATTATTATCTGTAAAGAATGTTACTAATTATTTTTAGTAATTAAAGTGTTAGATCGGAGATTAATATCTTTGATGAAGCATGCTATTGTCGTCAAACTACTAAAATAGGATATTACAATTAAAATCTTTTATTCAGGCGCCATAAAATAACATACAGGCAAAAATAACATTTTATTTAAGTTCAAACAGATACTTGTTTTTCGTAATATTGAATGAAGAGATCATTCCGGCATGATAGAATAATCTTGTTTCTCGTCATTTTTTCGGCAGTAAACTAGTTTTCCTTTTTCTTGTAGCGATGTAAAAAATTATCGACTGGTGAAAAGCGCAATCTCATCATATGCATTAATCAAAATCTTCTAGAAACTCAATCTATACGACTCTTTTCGTTTAAAATAAATTTACTGAATACATGTCGCATGCCTCCATATCTGTGTCCCTATTCATATCCGTATACGGAATACACGTGTACAATTAATTAAATGGTAAACCGGCGCTAAACGTTAGATACGATCCTCATCGACGCTCCTTTATATTTAAATGAGCCGTTATGCGCATATAAATGAGACGTTCATTAGCAGTATATCGTGTCCATCGAAAATAAATTAATCTGCGAAAATAAATAGATGCCTTACTTTATACACGAAACAATAAGTCACCGGTTTATCTAATTTTCCGGTATATACATTGTGACTTTTGCAAGCCAAATTTCAAACGTATCAATCGCACTAGTTTTATTTCTTCGCAAGATAACTTATAAGAAAATAAAATTGATGAATGACGCTTATAATTTCAATTATAATGAAATAAGTTTAGAGGGTATTAAAGAACCAACCGCAAGTACTTGATGCGTAAAATTATTTTATATATCCTAAAGAAATTACATGAATTTGATATTCAAACCTATTTTCTTAAAATCGAAGACTTATTTTATTATAATTGTTATTATTTAGAGTCCTTTATTTTTATATTAATAGCTTATAATTTTGTATGGTTAATTGTAGAATATCGTTTATTAATTGAGAGCGAAATAAAGGCACAATTCTAGTTAGGCCCTTTTTCCGGAGATTAGCTCTTTTATTTAATATTGATCGTAATGGACAAGTACTGTCTACATACATTTAACTTCTTAAAGATATTCATTTGATACTGTACCAATTTGTGTATAATAAAAGAATAGCAAGTTATTTTAATTTTTATTAAAATTAAGATTTTTTGTAATTAAGACCTTTATTCCGCTCATACCCTCAATTTTTTTGTTCCTTATTCTACAATTAAATTGACTTCTCGCTTTATTCCGAAAAAATTCTTCATGCACCGAAAGAATGTTTTCTTAAAAGTTTATTTTAAAAATATGATAGTCGTGGGATAACATTGTATTCCGAGGAATTTTAATATAAATCTCTCTCTTATTTATTAATAAAACTATAACAAAATATAAAATAAGTTTGATTAATTTTACTGAAAAGTGTGCATGATAAAAATCTTTAAAATATTGTATTGTACCACAATTACAATACTATATTTTGAGGATAAATTTTAAAAGATAATTTTCTCCGTGTGTGAAAAAATTATATAAATTTTTATCCTTCAGAATTGACATGTATAAGTACATTAATAATATATTTATTTATAAATTCACTAGTGGCCGCAAATTACAAACATAAAATTACAAAGAGCATTCAGCCACGCGCAGGGTATTTTTTGCAAATGTCATATATTTAAAATTCTTACGTTCAAGATACAAATTATAGACGTTTTGACCTATATCAGGTCATCTTCAGTATACAATATAAATAATATAAAAATAGTTCGCCCTCATAAGATAAAAAGAATTGAAATAAATAAACGATCAATGATTGTTAGTCATAAGAGATTAAAAGAATAAATTAATAATAAATTTTTGTTTAAATTACAATCTACGCTTGTGTATGTTGCCAAAAATTCTTGCTTCTATTCGTCTTAATGAGACTTTTATATCGAAAAGTTGTGAGAAACAGATTTCCAGATTCTGTGCTTGTCACAACGATCCTTAAATTATTCTCCATCAGTATTGAGATCTGTGATATCACAGATAAAACATTATTTTTACAAATAAAAGTAGTTCTGTTTCACGTTTGTCTCACATGGAGAAGGACAATTTTAATATTGATGGAGAATAATTTAAGGATCGTTGTGACAAACACGGAATCTGGAAATCTGATGTTTCTCACAACTTTTCGATATAAAAGTCTCTCATTAAGACGAATAGAAGTAAGAATTTTTGGCAACATACACAAGTGTAGATTGTAATTCGAACAAAACGTTATTTTTTGTTAATTTATTCTTTTAATCTTATGACTAAGAATCATTGATCGTTTATTTATTTCAATTCTTTTTATCTTATGACTGCGAACTATTTTTATATTATTTATATTGTATACTGAAGATGGCCTGATATAGGCCGAAACGTCTATAATTTGTATCTTGAACGTAAGAATTTTAAATATATGACATTCACAAAAAACACCCTGTGCGTGGCTGAATGCTCTTTGTATTTTATGTTTGTAATATATGTATATTAAATTACTATATGAACGATAATAAATACTAATATATTATCGTTTATAATAATTTAATATATTAAGTATATAAATATATTATCGTATTTGCACGTGTTAGTTCTGAGAGGATAATACATCTACAAATTATTTATGTTTTATCTAAAGTTATGAATACCTAACCGGGTTTTTTGAAAAGGTAAATTAACTTTGCCGGTGTATACATTTTTGAAGAACCATGTTCTGCCTCTCATCGAATCGGAAGTATCCAGTTGTAACCGGACGTGCAGGAATAGCGTGAAAAAGCATCGCGAGAACGTTCACACGCGTTAGGGAGATTACTCTCAGTGGAAGATCGCACCAGAAAACGTGTCGAGAAAATGTCACGCACAAATAATGCGTTATAATCTGTCGCGTGATAATCTCATCACGCGTACATAAATCTATATATTATCCTGCATCATCGTAATGCCGGCCTCCTTTTACACCTACGTCGACATCGACCGAATTACTATACCCGATATAGTATCCGATAATTGATGTTACACGCGGTGTTCTTACTGGTACATTTAAAAGTGCGTTTGAGAATACTTTTTTTTTTTCCGGTAAATCAGTCTTGCTGACCCTCTAAGGACACATATAAAAATCGATCGTGTCATAAAAATTAATAATATATGTTTTCATTATTATGCATAAAGTGTTATTATGCATAAAGTATTATAACATTATTATGCATAAAGTAGCGGACATAATATATGTATATACATGACATATATGGAAAATTTTTGAAAATTATTGGAAGTTGCAAATATTATGTTACTACATTAATAAAATCATGTTTTTGTGCGTTCCACGTATGTTGTAAAAAATTTACAATACAGATCACATCTTTATTGTATATTTGATAAAACAAATTAGGGCTCATTGTCTTTGTAAGGAAATAATTTCACACGTTCTGTAGAAATTTTGCTATTAAAGATGTATCACACGTACAGTCTCTGCAAAGAAAATTAAATTTAGAAATGTGTTTAATATTTACACTTTAAATAAACTATATACATATGAAAGTTGTGTGAATAAGATTACACTTTTATTTAATAACACATTTTTGTCGTTTATTTATTCTATTTGTTATTATTTTTATTGTTAAAAATTAAAATTTTTTTAATGATAACAAAAATATCTAAATTTTGTTTTATTTTTTTTAAATATTCAAAGTAACTTATGCAAGGTTTCATTGCGATTCACTGATTAGTTACAAAATATACTATAGAACAAATAAACATTTTGTTTGTGTAAAATATTACTGGGCAACTAGTTCATGCATCGCAATGTAATTCTATACATAAATAATTTTGAATACATTTTGTTTATATTAAAACGTTTATATTAAAAAATTGAGATTGTCATTTATTTTATAATACATTTTTATACATTTTTATTAGAACACAGATTAAAAAAATACTACCATTTACTAAAATAACTTATGATTCAGATAGTAAACCGTCGCCAAATTTGTCACATTGTTTTTAAATTACAGATTGTTATCTGTAATTTTTTCATCATTTTGTTATCATTTTAAAAATATGTATAAAACATCCTTAAATAAGTTGAAAATTCTGATTACTCTCAGATTTCTAAATTATAATTGATGAGATTAAGATAATGACTTTGTTTTTGGAAAAAGTCTAATGGCGTTTTAAGTAGATCGCAAAAAAAAAGGATATCATACATACAGTATAAAGCCCTGCCTACAATGGGAGAAGTATTAGAAACGGGAATAAATATTAAATATTAGAGAATAAAAAAATTAGAAGTATAAATTAAACAATTAAACAATTAAATTAAACGTAATGCACAATGGATATAAATGGATAAAATATAAGAATGAGAGAGAGAGGTAAGATTTATTATATATCTCTTATTTATATGAATTCATACTATGCATTACGTTCACATCAATCTCTATTCTTGTATTTTTTTCCTTTCTTTACCATTTAATATTTATTCTTGTTCTTAATCATTCAAAAAAGTGATCTTGCACTTGTAGCGAAAATTATCTAAGTACGAAAAATAGCTAAAATAGATAAATTTCTAATAAGTACTGCGATATTGTATATGTATTGCATCTAAATCATATAGATGACATAGATAGAATTTAGATTTGTGCTATAAATTCTATGTGTATGATATACATAATTTTCTATCAGATACAAAAAACAGCTATAATTTTAGTTGGAGCAGCAAAATATTTTTTTTGCGTGAATATTTCTTTCATTATGCGCAGGACCTAACATATGCACCTGTACGTACGCATACACACACACACACACACATTTGTGCGTGCATGCGTGCGTGCGTGCGTGTGTGTGTTGTATTTGTGATATCTGGATGTGTGCTAATGGGCCAATCTCGCGAAAAATACATCGATTTCGCAAGGAGTAGGGGCGAGACACGAGGACGCTCTACGACAAGGGGTTTGAACTGTGGGGTGGCAGGTTCATAATCGAGCAGAGTGGCGGTGGAGGGCGCAAGGTATAAAATCGGACGTCGAGTAACAGGAGACATTCAGTGCGATTCTAAGCTTCACATCGTCTACTTAGAATTTTGATCATCGGGAGTCACAGAAATGCAGGACAACAGGTTTTTTATCTTCGTGATCCTTCTGGCATTTTCTACGTCTCTTAATCGTAAGTCAACATCGCGAATTTCAAAATATACATTGCCTCTTTCGTTTTTTGATTATTAATATCTGATTCCATTAATTCGAAAATTTTTATTAAAAAATTTACAGTATATTGCATTTCTTATATTCTAAATTTTTATACTTAATTATCAAATATATTAAGGGTGCGTTCCGAGTAACACCTGAAACGCATGATGTATCATTTTATTCTTCTTCATTATTTGGTGAACAAGACAAATGATGCATTATGCGCTTCATGTGTAACTCGGAACGCAACCTAAGATACTTTTATAATATATCATTTTAAACATTAGCTAATTATTTTTGTAAATTATACTAAAAGTTAAAGCATCTTGATAAATTAAGATCGGCTTAAATTAACCGCAAAATCGATTCACCTGGTCTAGATATTAAATTCGGATGTTAATTTAAACCTTAATCCAAAACATACTCACACACATAGAATTAAAATAATATAGAAGTAAAAATACATATACTATATAGAAATGAAAATAGTTGATACATGTTATCCAATTATTATTAAAGATGATCGACATCGTGGAAATTATAAATGAAAAAAATGACTAACAACGCAGGGAGGGAGCTTCTAATCTAATATTAAAAGTCGGAATTTTTATTCTCTCGCGAATAATGTGTTAAATAATTCATTCTCATTGAGGCAAACAACAACTCGGATGCAGCAGTTCCCAACGAAGCGAAGTAAAAATGAAGTAGGACGGGGAATTAAAGTGCAAAAAAGTCATAGCGCGGATAAAAAAAAAGTATCATACTGAATTCTCACAGGAAATCGTTGAGCGCCACGAGTGCGAGTGTAGATTAAATTGTTAGGGATTATGATGTCCGACTTTTGATGGAAAAACGTCGACGATGTTCTATTTATTTTGCAGTTGCCAGATGCTCGGTCGGCCAGCACTTCGAATCCACCAGAGGCAAGAAACTCGCATGAGTGTCGCATACTTTCATAACTTTTGTGTGGCATTTTTCATATTATAACATTTTGTGACTAATTTTTTACTGTTTCATACATAAATATCGAATATATGCACACAAACGTTACGACTATCATCAATCAAAACGCTGTGCTCTACTTATTTATATATTTTTTTAATGTATTTCAGATTTTGGACGTTTTTTAAATTCTTGTGAACGTATTATTGATTGTACATTTAGTTTTTTTTTAAATTGCGATGCTTAACTTTATATCTTCATTGAAAAAAATTAATACAAATTTTTATTTAAATTTTAGTAAAGAATATAGATTTTTATTTTTCTTAATATTGTCCTGTACACTTCAAATAATTTTTAAATTTTGAATATACATATTGTATATTTATAGTTTCATATTTTTTTATATAAGTTTTTTTTTTATATAAGTTTGTTTACAAAGCACGTATGTGTATAATAGTACATGCACAAAATAATTCGCTGTAGTATACACATATTGATTATGAAAAGAATTTATTCGAAATAATTTGTAATGTCTTATTTCTAGTGCTTTTTTTTATTTATGTTATTGTATTATTTGTGTAATTAAAAAATTATTAGATGCATTAGTCTCGGATAATTAATTGTTAGAAGAAAGCAGAATTTATTGTTCCAAAAAGGACACATAACAAAATAATTTCGAGCATTTAATAATCTAATTATTTCGTATCGTTCACGTTCTAGAGGGTCAAAAATTGAAAATCAACGATAGACGTTCCGCTGGATTGGTGGCGTATCCAAGAATCGGCCGAAATTCGGAAATAGCGAGTTTCCCTAGAATGGAGCGTGCTTTTGGAATAATACATAAGCCCCGAGTCGGACGATCCGATGAATCGAGCAATTTGAATCGATTTCAGGATTTATCAGCTGAAGCCGATATGGAGTTCTACATTCCACGCGACGTGGAATCTGAAGTTCTTTTAAATCTTGATTACGAAGGTGTGAAAAATTTGGAAAAATAATGTCGGAATGTCAAAGAATGCATTAAATCTTTAAAAATAATTTCATATGAAGATTATCGAAAAGAAATAATTCTTATAAATAAGAAATTATTATGACTTATTGGAATATTTTTAATAACATTATTGACAGCAAACTTTTTGAAGTAAATTGAAAGTTTAATGAGGCAATTACTGCAAAATATTTTAATATGTAAACGTTGGCTACACGGATGTTATCTTGCAATAAATAAACGTTTAACGCATTTCACGTCAGATCAATATCCGCGATGCCGTTATTAATTAAATCGGCTTTTATCGGATTGAATAAATTTTATGAAAAAAAATACAAGCGCGAATATCTGCATTTGTGCGAAACAATGCTGCATTATGTGGCATGCGCTTGCAGTTTTTAATGAATTGATTTGAACGACGTCGGACGACCCGCCTCAGGATCCGTTTATCGCTTTTAAACAAAATTTATACAATGAACCGTATTTAAGTATTATACATTTTTGTCATCTACAGGAAATCAATTGTTAACTATACTTTTTTATGTAGATTACGCAGATAAACCGATAGCATTTAAACATGCTGACAAAATTCAGAAAGACGGTGCCTGGTTAATGCCCGATCATGTACATGGATACAAGGATCTTCGTTTCGCACAAAAAATCGACGATCCTCGATCGTATTACTCTATTTTACGAGGTATGAATAAAAGGATCCTACTTTTACCTTTTATTACGATGATATTAATTAACACTAGAAGTACCAACGTTTCTTACTCACTAAAAGGATAAATTATTATGGAAATAGAGAAAGTGATGAAAATATTTTATCAGTATAAAGAACATAATTATTGAAAAATAAAAAATTTTCAAAATTCTATTTTTTACAAGAAATATATTAATTTAAAACATAGACACGGTTATTAATAACTGCTTGATACTTCTAGTATTAATCCGTTGATTTATTCGCATATTTTTCGATTTAAGATTTATGAAAGTAACTAATTGTTCCTTAAATTGATCTCATTAAAAAAGAAATATTGAAAATGTTTCAATTTTATCTCAAAATCTATATGAAGCCAAGGATGCATTGTTCAAAAGAGCACTAACAGTATGTTTGTAATAATAAACGCCAACATCTTTAAATGTTACAAAAGGTATTGATCATATTATTTTCGCTAAATTAAATATTCTCTCGGAATACTTGGAGCACGTCGCGTATGTTGAACAGATATCGACTATCATACACGACGTCATTCATTCTTTGACATTACGCGAATCGCTTTTCCATAAAGAATAGCGTCGTATGAAGAGAAAAGCGTCACTGCTTCATTAATCCTTAAATGCGAGCAATTTAAGACAGTCCACGTGTGATTTTTCGCGCTCTGCAATGTGATTGATCTCTTTCCAGGTTCTCGAAATAGTCAAGGTCAAGGAGGATACACTCCGAGACTAGGTCGCGAGAATGAACACGACGCAACGAGTTTCCTGTAACTTGCCATCTTTGATCACGATTCGCGCCTCGCGGATTTGACGGATGTTGACTTGAGACAAAGAAGGAACTTACTGTCAAAAACGTCAGAAATGTAACGTGCGGTGCTTTTGATCGTTTTCCCTATTTGCATAGGCGATCCATCTTACCCTTGCACTTTGTACGCAAATTATGCAACAATACATAATCTGTACTTAAATACTGTACTTTATAATCTTACATGCAATCCTGTCGCCTAGTATCGTCACGAAATAGCAATTCTCTGGTGAAGCAACCGATCTTGATGTAACTTGGCATGCTATTTTAAGCAGATTTTTATTCCGAAATACTCGATCCAATTCAATGTTTGTTTTTATATACAAATAATGGAGAATAGAAATAAAAGTTTGATTTACACGCTCAGCTAATTGGTGATCTGTTTTTGATGTGACTGTACATATTTTAAAAAATTCAATTAAAAATAGTGTGTTCCTCATAATTATTTGATTACATATAACAATTTACAAATGGATTCTATTACTAATAACATTTGAAATTTGATACAACACTTTTTAGTACATAATATAGAAAGCCGTAGCCAATTATACTACAGGTAAAATCTTATAGGAAAAGAACAATCCTCATAGTTTCGTTTTATTGTTAGTGTATAAATTGAGTACAGAAAAACAATGCCATATTGTTTAAATTTTCAATGCTTCCATTGATTTTTCGTCTGAAAAAATGTGATTTACACGCCGATGAATGTTATAAATGTTATAATCAAATTCAATTGAAGATAATACGATACGCGGGGTACATCATTTTCTCTCACGAAACGCACAACAAACGTAATAAGACAATACAAATCATTGACTCGATGTATGTAAAATTCAATGATTTTATTAATTGACAAAGTGTTCATAATGAATATCTCCGTGTATAACGCACCGGCGTGCGCGTGCGACACTCGTAACGTCCAAGTCGCACGTGTACACGAATGTGTGATATAATAACAAATATTTACATACGCGTAGAGAATATGTAACAAACTAGTGATACACTTTGGAGAATGAATGGAAGGGAAGATAATGAGACGCTGTCGGTTCGCTCGTCGCGCCAATTAATTAAAGGTCCGTTCGTTTTGAAGAAGTAGTCGTGAAGTGTATATACAAACAGTCGCCTCATTTTGGGTTATTTTTTTAGTTAGCAGACTAAAAGAGACTTAGGTCTAAGAGGTTCTTCACGCATCCATCCATCATTCATACACACTCATTATGGGCGCAAGCGGGCAGCCGGCCAGACAAGTCGGCAAGGCAGACAAGCATAGACAGACAGATATTCGATAGGTCGGATAATCGTGGCCGATATCAGTCCTTCGATCGAATGCTCCGTATACTAATCTCGGTGACACGCCGGCCGCGACACAGTGAGATATCGATTTTCTCTCTTGGCGTTTTCTCCGCATTCGCTGAACGCGCTGCATGCCGAAGGGAAGAACCACGTCGACTTAAACTGCGCCCGCGGGAGATGTCTAATCACAACTACATTCTCGTTGTTTCCCAAGAGGTGTCCGGCTACTCGCCGATAACTACCTACTCATGCGATTTGCGAAGTGCCCACCAAAAATGGGTGTTTTCCATTCAGTGATGAAAGTTAAATATGAACTTTTTAATTATTTTTGCTTTCCATTTGTAATTCAAATTGATGACACAAATCGAGATCAATTAATTATGTTAGTAGCGAAGATGAAGAGGAAGGGAAAGAGATTTAAATTATAAAAATGAAAAATCTTTCTATTCGTTGCGATATAAACAATTGTAAATTGACTATGAAACAAAGAAAAGATCTGAAAATGATATAATGTAAATCTATTATTTATAGTTAAATTAGTGTACTTATAAAATGAAATAGATGGAAGTAGATATGTTTGAAGTTTGGTGAAAATTTTAGTGCAGATCGTACAACAATGAAAAACAGACCTATTGTCATCACGATCGCTATCGTTATCATGGAAGAGTGCTCTTATAGAAAAGTACTATTGAACTCGCGAAAAAAACGATAGAAAATAATTGCAAAATCACTCGAATTGAATATTTTGTACACTATTCATTTCAATGATTTTCTTATTAATCTCATAGTATTTTTCCACAAGGATATATTGCCATCAATTTCTCAATAATCACAATTATAAAAAGCAAATAATTTTGATTTATTTGTTAAAAATATCCTAAAACTTGTGTTAAATTATAAAATAATATTATATATCTTTCGAATGTAGATGCAAATATAAACGTATTTAAAATGTAATTGAAATTATAAACCACCTTTTACTTTTCATATTATTAAATTTTATGTTTATATTATTAAATCATACTGTAATTACGAAAATTACATATTATATTGTGCATATTAAGTTTCACGCATAATAATTCTTTCCATTTATATTTATAATAATTAATTGTCTCTATAAATTATATGAATGAAAAACACCCATTGTACATTGTACGTCGACACGTGTTGAGACCATTTCCTATAATTATGTAGTTGTTTACATGTTCCTTGTCAATGTATAATGAAATACTCGAGAATCACTTAGAGATATGCGCTCTACTCATTACATTTTTCTAAATGCAATGCGGAAGTCCAGAAGATGATGAAAAAATATTAAAGACACTTTGTCTTGTCTTTAAATATTTGATCTGCATTTGATTATTGATCATTGATTGAGTTTTATATGATATTTTATATAACAAATAGAGATTAGGTGCACAAAAAGCGACACAATATTCGACGTTTAATGATAAGACTTTTAATTGCTAAAAGATTCACTTATTATGTAACTTATCTTCATAAATAAATGATATTTAGAAATTTTGATTTTATAAATGGCAGTCCAGAATTGCGATCAATATTTTAAGGCTGCAAAATTTGTAATGTCCACGATGACCCAACGAACGCGTAATATTGAGATAAAAATTCTTCAGTACAATCAATATGACGTCTCGTCACTATCAAAGCAATATCGATAGGATACGTCGTTAAAACTCCACCGAGGAAGCGTATACGGATCACTCGTTCGAAGCGAGCGCGTGCGTTCTCAAAGAGTCGATTCGTGAGCCATTCCTGACACGGTTAATATTACCGCACGCTAATTGATGTTATCCAATAATACCCGGCCGCTAATGGATGTTCCACAGTATATTAGGATAACACTATTAGCGGAATATTATCGATTATGAAATCAGTATTGCGTGACAATACGAATCGGTGTGGAAAAGAATCCGGTATTTTAGAGGGAAACGAATTCGTGCGGCGGTTGAATGATCCGCGGCGGTGGTGGCGGCGATAGTCGCAGGTCCATGTCCGTTATGTCCGTTAACGAGAATGCGGAACTGCCGTTTGCCGTAATGCGCGGCCCCATATTGTCGTAAGGTGAACCGGCGGCGACCTCGGTGGAGCGCAAAG